TTTTTTTTTAAGAATTATTTATTTAATTTTATTTATTATTTATTTTTTAAAATAGTTATTTTTTTAAAGAATTATTTCATTTAACTTTATTTATTATTATCATTATTATTTTCCAGTTTGATCAGAGAGAGACAGAGAGAAAGAGAGGAAGTGAGAAAGCAAGCCACCAGGTCCGAGACTTGAACCGTGGTCGGCCATGTGGGAGTCCAGCGCCTTTAACCACCATGCCACTTGCCGGCCCCTGAAATAATTATTTAATTTTATTTAGTTTACTTTTTATTTTAATTTGACCAAATAGGGACAGAGTGAGGGAGTGAGAGAGAGAGAGAGAGAGAGTGTGTGTGTGTGTGTGTGTGTGTGAGAGAGAGAGAGATGGAAGGTGAGAAAGCAAGCTGCCGGGTCTGGGACTCGAACCACAGTTGTCCATGTGGGAGCCTAGCGCCCTTAACTACTATGCTACCTACTGGCCCCCATTCTTTATTTTGACCAGAGAGAAACAAAGACAGAGAGAGTGAGAAAGCAAACCACCAGGTCCAAGACTCAAACTGCGCTCAGCCACATGAGAGTCCAGCGCCTTAACCACCATGCCACCTTCCAGCCCCACTAGGCATTGTTCTAATTGATCATTTTGCATATATTGATTAATCCTTGCACAACCACCATTTTCAGAGGAAGGAGAGGCAGAGGGAGGTCTAGTGACCTGCCCATGGTCACCAGCTGGTGAGCAGCCAGGCTGGGACCTGCCCTCCAGCTCTGCACCACCCCCTGCACAAATGGCCCTAGAGCAGCTCTCTCCCGCTTACTATTCATGATGCCCTTGAGCTGGGGGTCCTGTTTTATCCTTTTGCTTCCCATTCAAAGGCCTTCGAACATAGTCGTGTTTCAGGGTGCTGACGGGGCTAGTTTGTATCTTTTATTCCTGCACAGGTGGTCCTTCGATGGGAGCAGATGCTGAGAGATCAATGATTTCACCGAGTGACAGGTAAAGGGTAAACAATGAATAATCAGATCCCCACCTGCCCACAAAATGTTAGCGTTTGGACTAGGGAAAGGCTTCCTTATAACATGTAAGTACAATAAGAAGCTTGAAAACCATATCAGGTGTGTGTACATGCGTGCCCAAAATCCTGAGGAGAATGGAGGCGAAGGGATTGCAGCAGGGAGGTGGTTTCTTGCTTTCTGTCTCTCCTCTCTGTCTTTTCTGGTGAATTCATGTGCCCTACGGCAGTAAAAAACTAAAAAAAATTTAAAAAGGAGTTAATATGATATCCTTCCTTATTTTGTCATATATTTTTATTTCAAAAGGAGATTTGGAATTATGGACTATATAGTGACCCCCCTTTTCTGAGGGCTATGTGTTCCAAGACCCCCCCAAGGGATGCCTGAAACCAGGTACTGTGTGGATCAGTGTGAGATGTCATCACACTACGCAGAATGGTGCGCGATTTAAAACTTATGAATTATTAATTTCTGGAATTTTCCACTTAGTGTTTTCAAATTGTGGTGAACTGTGAGTTACTGAAAGCAAAATGACAGATAAGGGGGGACTATTGTATTTTATCAGTAACTTTAGTTTGAAACAGGTTTTTTTTTGAGGGATTTTCGCTATAGGGCACATGCACTCGCCAGACAGAGAGAGACACAGAGACAGAGAAAGTGAGAAATCACCCCCCGGGGGATGACCACACCATAATCCCTTCTCCTCCATTCTCCTCTCGGGGTCTTGGGCATGCACGCACACGCGCCCAGTGTGAGTTTTAAGCCACCGGGTCCGGGACGCAAACCGTGATCGACTACATGGAATACGAGTGACATAGCCATTACGCTAACTGCTGGTTCCCTGAAACAGGTTATTATGATGTTGATGTTGGGGGCTAGCAGGCGGCATGGTAGTTAAGGAGCTAGATTCCCACATGGCCAACCGCAGTTCAAGTCCCAGATCTGGTGGCTTGCTTTCTCTCGCTCACTCTCTGGTGATCATATGTACCATAGCAAATTAGAATAATAATAATAAATAATTTTTTTGAGAGGTTTTTGTTTTTTGTTTTTTGTTTTTTGTTTTTTTGCTATAGGGCG